AAAAAAAAAAAAAAAAAGACATAAAAATATATCTTTTGAACAGTTTAAATGTTAAATAGCATGATGTCTAGTATATGCTTCAAAATCACTGTGGGAAAAGGTTAATATATTTTTTTAAATTGTCCACGAGTTCCTAAATGTGGAAGCTGCATAATGAATACATCAGTATTGTACTATTTTTCAATGAATTTAAAATTCTTTATAGTGAAAATTTCAAAAAGTCATAGTGCTCCTTTTTTACAGTACTTTTCTTTTTAATCTTCACTGCCATCACTGATACCAACTGAAGATGATATAAACATGAAGAATACTGCCATCATCTTACCCAGTTTTACTTGATCTTTCCTTAGAGTTCTGCAGTTTCCAATATGCTTCTTTGGCACCACAAGATAATGATGAGTTGCTGCTGGTTTGATATCTTTGAAGCAAATTAGGTCCTCATTCTAAAGGAAAAAACATTTGTTAGTAAATTTTTAAAAAGAATTTCTTAATGCTGTTCTGGCATGACTTAAATATCATTAATCTCAGTCTGACAGGGAAATGATACATACATCACACCTAACCCCCACTGGGCAATTTTATAATTATGCATTAAGTTCATAACAGTTCCTTCATGAGATGCTCATTTATTCCAGAGAATAAAAAAGATACATAAAGTCAATTTTGGAGAAACAATTACGAGTAAAGTTTACTAAAGCTTCATTACCAATAATCTCAGAGTTTATTACTTCATTACACATTTCTCTATCCCTACCCTAAAGTTTTTCACTCTTGATACATATTTTTTAAGGTTTGGCTACAGAATCACAGCAAGATAGATAAATTCCTTTCTACATTTAATTTTTTTCCCAACACAGCATTTTCCTCAACTACAAAAAGAACATCAGCTAGCATTTACATGTTCAGGGACTGCATTTTTTAAACAATTTTTTAAAGCAATTATATCCAAATACTTTTTTACTTGCCACTTTACAGTATTAAAAAGATCGAAATGCTGAAACAAATTCCAGTATATTGTACTAATTTATGGGCCCACTACAATACATGTATGGCATCAGTTTTCTGGTTTACATTGCTCCGCACAGTAATCTACAGAAAAAAGAAAAGGAGAGGAAGAAGAGCATGTTTCAACCCATTAACATTTGAATTTCAAATTTTCCTAAGAGAAAATCTATATTCGCTAAATAACCATATTAAGTATCTGATAGTGAATATCTTATTTAGTATCTTATACTGATTTTAATTAATTTATAATTATAAGCACTTTATAGTAAATAAAAATTAATTAAAATCAGTATAAGCAGAGTTTCCCTTAAAAAAATCCATGAATGCAATACTGCTCAACAGTTCTCCATTCCAAGAGCCAAAATTCAATTCAAACAAGTGCGTCATATCCATTCCAGTAATCCTGGTTATCCTAAGATAACAAACATAACAATTATATATCAATTTAATCCAATTCTATCATTTTTATTATGGTTTTTCTGTCTAGTATTAAAATTAAAAATTGATATCCATGGTATGTTTTAGAAAAGGATAAGGTCAAGGACTATAATGTTTTTGATTGTTTAAAATTTTCCTTTTTTCCTTTCTTTGAGATAGAATCTCTCTCTGTAGCCCAGGCTGGAATGCAGTGGCACAATCATGGCTCACTGCAGTCTCGATCTCCTGAGCTCAGTTGATCCTCCCACCTCAGCCTCCCAAGTAGCTGGGACTAAAGATGCACATCACCATGCCAGGCTACATATATATATATTTCTAGAGATGGAGTCTCCCTATGTTGTCCAGGCAGGTCTCAAACTCCTGGACTCAAGCGATCCTCCTGCCTCAGTCTCCCAAAGTGCTGGGATTACCATTATTTCTTTAATACTTCCAGCTCAGAAACAATTAAAATTGAAGGTTAAATCTAGTACAAGAAAATTGCCACAATCGTACTTCCCAGACTGATTCATAACACAACAATGTTATATATCTTTATTTCCCCTCAATTATGGCATTAATTTTTCAAATTCCAGAGGCAATTCTTTCTGGTACAGAATACAACCTGGTTAGAATTAGTTTGAGATGATGTAGCTGTAGTCTACCTCACAGCAGGAAGAACACTTCTTTAGATTAATGGAACTAGCAAGTGCCAGTCTAATGGCTAGTAGGAGAAAAGCTAAAGAGGTTCCTAAAAATCTGCTGTCTCATACTGCATAACTTAGCCATAAGAATGAACCAAAATGCTTAGTTTTGTCTTCCAACCCCTATATTGAAAGGTTTTGGTTACTAACTCTCATATACCAATAATTTATTTTCCCAATTTTAATTAATTAATTACCCAATCCCAATCCTAATAAAAACTACCAATCGACATGACTCTCATCACCAGGAATAGATAAAATTCCTCTCAAAAATAAAGAAACTCGATGTTTTAGTTAGCCTGCACCCTGACTAAATTAGATTTTCATGAAGCTTTCTGAAATATTGAAACTAGCTCTGATGTCACCCTTTGTCCCATTCCTACTGCTGATCCAGACATCATTTACATAGTTCATCTTAAGAAAAATGATCCTCCTATTCCACAGATACACTGGCAAAAATATGAAATGATGTGTGTGTGTGTGTGTGTGTGTGTGTGTGTGTGTGTGTGCGCGCGCGCATATATAAACTATTCTTTGCAGCATAATTCATGACAGCAAAGGACTGAAAAATAAACCAAACGTTCATAATGCATCTGGGAGACTGGTTTAATAAATTATGGCAAATCCACACAATGGAGTATTGTGTGGCTCTAAAAATGAATGAGGAAGATTTTCATATACATATGAAATTATTTCCAAAACATATTCAAGCTTTCTCTAAAAATACCAAAGAGCAGAAGAGTGGTTAAGCTATCTTTTGTGTACAAGAAAGACAAATACAAATACAGACATGTGAATACCTATTTACTCACAATGGAAAGATAAACAAAAAAGTTTTTAAAAGTTTCTTATGGAGAAAGAGAACATGGTAGAGACGACAAGAGAACGGATGCTAGATTTCTCCAAATGTACCTTGCTTTACAATTTGGACTCTGAAAACATGTAAATATTTAACATGTATACTTCACACTTCACAAGAAAAAAAAAGCAATCCCTAAAAATAAAAAACAAACAACAATAAATGAACCTAACTGTATGTCATTTTGGTAGCACAATCATTCCATTCAAAGAAAAGAATGATTTCAAGTGACTTAAAAATACAGTATTTTGACTATCCATCCCTAATGACATCCACTAAAAGAGCATTTTTATTCCTGCACTGAATTTGGATCATAGGAAAGCTCCTCAAGTGTGGGGCATGCCATATTCATCTTTGAACTCCAAGTGAATAACAAAGTACACCTGCCAAACTGCTGAATAAATAAATGACAGATGCTTCATAGAAGATCAAGTTACAGATACACCCTCCTCTATCCCTTAAAAAATGGTGTGTCATTTGGGTTTTCAGGTATTTTTCCAGGAACAGAGATAGGTTTTCTATGATCTTTCAGTTTCTCTTTGCAAAACGCCTTCTTAAATTGTAATTGTGGCCATTTTTGAATTAGATCAGTGTGTCTCAACCTTTTCTCATTATCACCTCCCTAAGGAGCCTTTATAGACGTTTTCTGATTGCCCCCTCCCATGATGTTTTAATGTCACAGATACACTGTATATATGTTTATGTTCTGTATGGTATACCTATGCTTTACATATAAAAAGAATAAAAAATGTTTTTCCCCTGCCACCTCTGCTCCACCCCAGGGAAGAACCAACTTTTATCCTTTTGGTAATACATGGATGAGAGGAAGAGCTAGCCTGTCCTGACTTCATTTTCACCACTGACACTAATCATCAATTTAAACACAACAAATAACTGTTTCAGATTTCTTTAAATCTGAAAACCCAAATAGGGCAGATTGGCACTCAACCTCCATTCTAAATATTTGTGCTTTCTGTAATGCAGAACTAAAAAAGCTAAAAAATCCCAGAGGGAATTTAGATCTTGCCAATCAAAAAGCCATGTTTTTGCTGCTTCTGTTATCATCCATCTTCCAAACTTGGCCAGCTCTAAGACTACAAAGACAGGTTTTTTCTTTTCTTTCTTTTATCTTTCTCCCCCTCCCCCTTTTGAATACCTTATCACTAGCTTCAAGGATATCAAGAATGGCAAGACATCTATTTTTTTCTTGGGAAAAAACTGCCAGCATGGACCCAGCAGATGGAGTGTGGCTCTGAAGCCATGTTTCTCAACCAGAGATGGAAATACATAGATGCTCTTTTGATCATGGATACTGCTAGAATTTGGTGCACAGAGATCAGGGATGCTAACCATCCTGCAACAGGAGAAATAGTCCCACAAAACAAAGTAGAGTTGTACGCAAAATGCCAATAGCATTCCCACTGGAAATATCACTTACAAGTAGCAGTCACACTGCTTCTTTATCTCTGAATCACAACTAAAGAAGCATCTTTCTGAGGTTAAAGTTCTAATGGCAGCCACCTGACTCCTGCCTTCCTCACTGTGTCAGGGAAAGCAGCTCTCCAATAAACAGTTCTGCAGTGCTGGTCTGGGTGTCACTCCTGAAGGATATTCTAGAACCTGCTCTACCAGCCCTTCTAAAGAGTTTTTTAAGCAAATGATTCCCTACATTAAGTCAATTTCTGCTTTCAGTAACTATAATTTTTTTTTTTTCTTTCCAGCAACTGGACCCTGACTGACATCTAAAGCAAATGTTAAAAGTAACATTTGAAAAAACATTTCAGTATCATGTCATCTAAGGTGCTAGGCAAAATTTGATTAAAGAATGGGGACAACGTTCAAGTTAAATTGACACTGAGTTACTTCCTCAGTATAGTTCCAAGCAAGGTAAATTCTAGTCCAGTGTTACTCAATTACTTTTTCATTATTGCTTATCTAATGAGCCTTTTAAGACTTTTTTTCCCCAATCCCATCTCCATGAGATTTTAATACCACAGCTATACTCTCTGTTTACTCTATGTATATCTGTGCCTCATACACGAAACAGTAAGACATTGCCCCATCACCACCAAAAACCAATTTTCACCCCTTTGGGAGTGTCATTTGCCCCATTGAGAATGCATGGTTCAGCCTTTGCTTAGTTTTAAATCTGCAGTGTACAATTAGACAACACTATATGGAGGTTTATGGAGTGAAGAATCTTCTATAGCTTTTGCTGGAAAGGCTTGCCAGACTAACCCGTCATGATGCTGGTAACTCCAATTTTTCCAAATGGAAATTTTTCTCTTTTCTACTTAAATTACACTTTATATAAACCCAACAGTTTCTAAATGTTTACAATGAATATATTTGAATGAATATATGAATGTATGATATAAACCATCGAATTACGTTATATAATTATTCTTTTTAAAATGATTAATCTTTAATCTTTCATGAGTGAGCTCATGTACATAAAGTC